TCACCAGTGTGACAGCAGGGTGACAATATTCCCGTACACGCCGTCACCAGTGTGACACAGTAGGGTTACAATGTTCTCATATGCGGCGTCATCAATGTGACACAGCAGGGTGACAGTGTTCCTGTACGTGCCGTCACCAGTGTGATGGAGCAGGGTGACAGTGTTCCCATATGCGCTGTCACCAATCTGACACAGCAGGGTGACAGTGTTCCTGAAAGCAGTATTACATGTCGTGTATGTAACTATAAGCAGGAGGACATGCAACGACACTGCATTCCCAATGTGACATACCAGAGCAGGCCATCAGCCCCCGCCCCCCATGCCCCCCATGCCCCCCATGCCCCTCAGCCCGATCGGCACTCACCCCCAGCGTGGTGCTCTGCCGGTTGTAGCCAGCGAAGTGCAGGATGCTCTCTGTGGCCATAGCCAGCCCTGTGTGCTGGGACAGGCCTGAAACCCAGTTCTGGTGCTTGTTCAGGTACTCCTACAAGATGTGGTAGCTTGTTATGACATTTAAAAGGAAGTATAACACTCCCAACCATCCATACGGGCATCTTATAAGTGCTTACGACCACACAGAACGTCTAGAAGGAGGAATGTAAAGTACAGGAGGCGAGTACACTGACTGAAGCAAAAGTGGAGCGAAAAAAAACACTCAAAAAGCTTCAGATTCACCTTATTTTTCTGTCCATTAAATATCTGTTATTTTCATTACAAAAAATGTATCTGACATTTTAAACTACACCTTGCTGTTATTTAATTCAAAACCCACGCTGCAGTTATCCACTAAAATGCAATGACTATAACGGTGCATTCTTCAGGTAAAATATTGGTCAATTTCACCCTCATCTTTCTCACAGAAGCTGCAAAAATCCAATAAAACTACCCATCAAATTATGCTTGAAAAAAACATTCTTCAAATGATCAAAATCACACGATCAACAGCAGAAATCACAATCACCACCATGGAAATTAAAGGGCCTCTGCTCATCGGGTCAGGGCATACCCCAACAGCCATGTCTCAAAAACCATGACAAATAATTACTTTAAATTTTTATCTTTCTTTGGGATCAAAATAAAACATGCTGATTTTTTTTATGTAACCTGGAGCAATTTGCTGGTACCTACTCACAAGAAATTTAAAAACAAGACATTAAGTTTATTTTAGGGTAAGCCCTGATTACAGGAGACACAGACACTGCTATGATCCTAGAGTCCTTTACCACTGAACCATAAATAATGTGATTAACTATGAATGCACTTGTGTGCAAAATGTAATTACTACTGAAACATTTTTCTAAGAAAAACGAACGCAAACTGGCAGTCTTGTTGAAGCAAGGTTGAACAGAACATGCCTGTTGCCTTAAGATCTGAGTGGGGTGTGGACCTACCTGGAGGTGGGACTTGGTGACAGAGGAGGCCCACTTCATGGCCTCTTTCAGGATCTCACCGCAGCGGGCAGCAAAGTCCTTCACGATGCTCTACAGGGGGAGCCACAGACGCCGTCAGAGATCTGGGTGCAGCCATAGGTCCTCAAATGGTTATACAGGCTGCAGTACTGCCCCCTAAAGGGCCTGATAGGAAGCAACTCAACCGGATGATTAAAAACCAAAATGCAGTCACAAGGAATCCAAACAACTACGGCAGGAGGGATTGAAAAAAACATGAAACGTAGCCAGATAGGATCCAGCTGTGTGGCACCAGTCTCAGGAAGAAGCAGACAGCAAGTGGGCAGAATCGGAATCGGGCTGCAGCAGGCATTACCTCCCTCGCTTCGTACGTGTCTGGCACCGTGATCCGGTAGGGGGTGTCCGGGATGTCGTAGTAAGGCTGGTCCTTGTGGATATCCTGGTCATGGGGAGGGAAAAAAAGCAGCCAGCAGCAGGTATCAGGGACTCCTGCTTATGACTGCCATATACAATGGGGGACCTCTTTAGAGCTAAAGTACAATTAAAATCAAGTGCAAGTCAGTTAAGTAGCTAATTAATTACGTAACCTGATAAAACCAAATAATGCCTATGCAAAGATCTGGATGTACGTTAATCGTTCGGCATAATCTGATGAGCAATAGCTAAAGGTAAGCGCAGGGGTAACTGGCTATTTTATAGATAAGGAACAATTATCGGTATAATTACAATTAAAAGTGTAAACTGCCTATGTCACATTTATTTAAAGTATGTAGGACTTAATATAAAAGCCTAGGGTTAAGTGTTTTTAGCAACCAGTTTAACAGAAAAGATAGATCACATGGAAAGAATTTTAATCCTATATTGCAATATATGAGGACAAGCAGTTAGAGAAAATGGATGGATGGATTAAAATGCAGCAAAACTCAAATGTCCAACTCGGACATTGAAATAGTCTGTCGATTTTTTTCCGACTTGTACCGCAACTGAAATATTGGAACTTGACCGTTCTTGCTAAAACTTGTATGAGTGAAGACGCATTCAACTCCACCAATTCGGACCTGGAACACATCAGGCAAGAAAAATCTAGCCACAACTTGACTGAAAACTCGGAACACAACAAAACAACAGACCTGCTAAAACTTATACAGAGACACGTCTCTGATGGACGGCCACAAAGACCAGTGGACCTACTGGGATGCTGATGTCTATGAATCGCTCTAGGTCTCATGGTCTGACATGCAAATGCTGTGAGCAGTGATATCAGCAAACCAAAGAGGCTGTAGGTGTTGCACGTGTGTCGGCTCTCGCTTCGGAGTGTGGGATTGTCAGTTATTTCATGCTTATTGCTTTTGTATGTGTGATTTTTCATGTGTGCATTAGTTAAATAATGGTTGTTATTTTATCATTAGTTAGGTAGGTAGATAAGAGTAAATAGGCAATCATTCTGGGCTCTGGAATGGAGTAAATTCATTCACATTTCTTAAAAGGAAATTCTTGGAGCTCGACCAAATCGCAATCCGACCAGCCTTTTGGTTCCAAGGTACCACTATATATGCATTGTTAATGGACAAATGACAATGAAACATTAGGATGATTTCAGGGAGTTAGAACATGACCCCTCTGTGGGGCGTCATACAGCACGTACAGCGCTGAGGGACAGCGACAGGGTCTGCAGGATGTCTAGCATGGTCCTCAATACTCGGCCGCTCCACAGCAGATGAGGGAATCTGGGAAGAGAGGAGGCAGGAACCCTTACTCACATACAAACACAACAGCAGCAATACCCACAGCTCCACAGCCTGGCTCACACTGAACACAAAATTAGAGGCATGAGTCCAGTCACCAGCAGGCGCGGGTTCACACACAGAGGAGCCCCTTACGTCTCAGCCAGGCCAGAGAGGTACTTGTCAGCCACCCTACGGATTCTCTTGTGGGTGTGGTTGAAGTTAACCAGCAGGAACTGGGCGTGGCGCTCAAGCTCCTCCTCATGCTCTTTGGTCTTTTGCTACAGGACAGAAGTGAAGGACAAAGAGATCATGGTCACAAAGGGAGGAAGGTCAATTACTTTCTCATATGCTCAATGTCTGGGCAATCTGAGTCTACCTTGTCTGCCATCATTTGAAGAAAGACTTCAAAGACCTTGTCCCCCACAGCTATGACACACTGCATCATTCCTGGGGACCAAAAAGTCATACAAAACAGCTGTAGGTACAGACTCTAAGCTTATGGCATTTCAACATATGGCTCTTTACGTTTCAAGCATTTTACATTTAGTATCTATTAATCCATTATATTCTCTTACACACAATTTCAGCCCCGTTTGTGAGGAGCTCTTCTAAAGGCTTAGCATTTAGTTTGCATGCTGCTCCGGGCCCTACCTGACTTGTCCTTCTGGATGGCTTTGTCCTCAAAATAGCGGAACATCACCTGGAAGCGATCATGATCCATGGAGCGCAGCACCCTGGCAACAGCCAATGAGAAACCAGCACTGCACTGATACACAAGAACTCACAACCTGGCAGACAGTAACTTTATTATAAAGAATGGATTGAGCATCATGTTACAATATATGCTATGATTTATTTGAATTACTATTTTTTTAATGATTTAAATCATCCAAATCCTTATAGTTTCCTTAAAGGCACATTATCACACACTATGTGCATTTTACAGATGCAGATTCACCTGAACTGCATGCTTTTGCACTGAAGGAATGAACAGGAAGATGTGCAGGAAACATGCCCAGACCAAAGAGAGGGGGGGCAAGAATTATAGTCGTGACCCAGGTGGTGTGAGGACATGGTGCTACCCGCAGAGCCACTGCACTAGCAATAGCGGAGCGTGAAAAAGTGAAAGGACTCGCTCGGCAGCCTGACCAGGCCCATACCTCATGTACTCCAGCCGGTACACGGACAGCAAGTAGGTGGACATGGCAAAGTCCAGCTTGTTGATAAGTGCGGCCACCTCAGGCGGTGGGTCCAGCAAGTTGATGATGGTGCTCCGAAGCTCGTTCAGCTCCCCCTGCGGGAGGCAATTTGAGACACTAAAACCAACGCATCTAAACTGGGATGTGACAGGCCTCCACTGCAAGGAAACCAACTTGCTTCGGCATCACATCACGCATCGATCAACAGTGATAATTACTGACATACGAGGTAGCTGGAGTGATTTCTGAATATAAAATGTTTCCCCCTGTGTGTTCTGAGGATGAGCTTTGGCCGGCGACAGGGTATTACCGCGGTGACGGTGTCGTTCTTGAGCGCCGAGTTGTACTGCAGCTCAGAGCGTAGCGGCTCTCCACTGGGGAAGGTCAGGAGGGGGGACTTGGTGGCGATCTCGCACACGCCCTCGTGCCACTCCTCAGGCCACAGCCCTGCACACAGACGGCAGGAAGTTTGTCATAGAGAAGCTCGTCTCCATCTCATCCCGACAACGAGCCGGCGGCCCACGGCCTACCTGAGCCCTCCACCGCAAAGCCCATCACCACGGAGTAGAGCCAAAAGTCCCGGAAGAGTTTCTGCAGCCGGGGCCGGGCTTCTTTGATGGGGGGCAGGCGCCGGGTCAGCTGACGGGGTGACAGCCAACAATATGGCGCAGAGTAAGACTCCAAGGGCTCCAATAAGGGCTACTTTTAGCTCAGCTAATGTGTAAAACTCTAAAGGTCCAAAGCAGATTTACCTGTTCTAATTTAATGTTCACTTCACCTTATTATTCAGAGAGAAAAGCAAAACAATTGCAATGATGATTACAGGTATAAAATGATTAGCAATCAATTGACAAGTTCTAAGCACCAAGGATCATGGGATCAATGGATGAAATGTGAAGCTGTTCTATATTGTACTCTAATCCCTGCTGCCATATACTCCTGTAGAATTACCAGTTCACATTCCCACTGCCATATTGATTTGACATGTTTATTTCAACTCCACAACAAATGCAAATAAAACAGCAGGAGGAGCAAAGGGTCAGAGGCAAAGGGTGGAGGTTTTAAGGCTTGCAGAACAGGCAGAGCAGGGGACAAGGAGCAGGCAGAGCCTGCACATCCAAACATCTGCTGCTCCCGATGATTAAGACGCAGGCTCCAGACTCAGCTATTAAACCGTCAGCTGTGAGCATAATGAGGCAGACAAGGCCGCTGAGGACAGTCATCCTGCGCAGAGTCTATTTTGCATTTCCCGTGATCTTCAGGCGGGCCGCAATGTGATCAGTCTCAGCCAGGTGGCCAGACAGAATGTGAACAAAATACCGGGAGGAACCACAGTAATTACAGTACAGCACAAGACGGATCTCTGAAGTATTTACTAGAAAACAGGCTGACAACAGACAAGGTATTGTCTAACCACTTTTTAATAAAGCTCACTCGAAACTCGAAACAGCCGTGGGATTTGGTAAATAATGTGGGGTGTGCAGGGGAATCAGGCTTCCAGTAAGTCAAGGTAATGGTTAAAGGGTTTGAACTGACACAGCACTTCGAAGTATTTGAACTGGATGGGTGTTTGCATTGGGAAATGCATCAAAGTTCACTTTACGCTACTGGATTTTGCCTTGGGGTGGAAAACAGATACAGCACAACAGCTGCCATCAGTGCAGAGGTAAGCCTTGATGCAGCTTCGCACATCTCCCACACTGGTTTCCAGAGGTACAAGCTAACAAACAGAGCTGACTTTTTCGTAAGTGCAAGGTAGAGAACTAAAGTAAAAAAGGATGCAAAAGGGGAAATGCATACTGACCTCCATTATTCCAATAAAAATTTGAGGGTAATCAGCAAAAATCGAACTGGCTTTTGCACTAAAACAAATTGCTGTTGTCAAGTAAAAATTATTGTATTGAGGATTATTGTATATTTTATACTAACATGTAATTTTTGTTTAATACTTAAAAAAAAAAAAGATGCCATATGAATGTCATATGGGAGCAAAATTAGCAGGTATTTCTGATGGTACAGCTGAATGTTCATATTTGTCAAACTCAACTTCACTATGTGAAATGTCTTCATCAGAGCTCCCATGATGTGGTTTCTCAAAGTTGTGGCAGCATCATGCCTCCTGCTGTCCCCAAGTTACGCGGGGATCAAGGACATCAAGCTGCACTTTGACTTCATGGAGCAGAATCAGTCGCAGCCCGTGGATCCTCGGAGTCTCACTGAGGGCAAGGTGCTGGATGCAGAAGCCATCCCGCTGGACTATCATAAGGAGAACACCGTCACAAACGACCTAGCATTTGATGGGTTTGAGGATGAGGACTACATAGACTTTGACAAAATCCTGTCAGAAGATGACTACAGCGAGGGTGACGAAATCGATGACATCACCATCCCAGACACAGAGATCTCCAATGAGCCTTCTGACCCCAAGGTCCGTCGGGCCCGACTTTTGCATCTCTTTAACGGGAGGTCTCGCATTGAGCGGCTCAACATCGTAAACGCCCGCTTTGGCTTTAGCCTCTACCGGAGCTTGCGTAACCACATCAACCAGACAGACAACATCCTGTTGGCCCCAGTGGGCATTTCCATAGCCATGGGCATGATGGACCTTGGCACAGGGCCTAGCACCCATGAGCAACTCTCCAAGACCCTCGGTTTTGCCGACTTTGTCAATGCCAGCGTGCACTACGAGGACATCACAGTCCACAAGCTCTTCCTTAAGCTCACCCATCGTCTCTTCCGGCGGAATTTCGGCTATGTGCTACGCTCTGTCAACGATCTCTATGTCAAGAGGGATATAACCTTGGAAGAGCCGTTCAGGAAGGATATGAAGACATATTATTTTGCTGAGCCACAAACGGTGGACTTCAAAGACCCAGCCTTCCTGGGAATGGCTAACCGGCGTATCCAGAAGCTGACCAAGGGCTTGATCAACATGCCTCTTAAGAGCGTGGATCCCAACATGGTGATGATGCTCCTGAACTACATCTATTTCAAAGGTATAAAACTCCCCATAACAGTCCACTCATCCAGTAATGAGTAGCTTGTCGATGGACCACAAGCAGCTAAGTAGCATGTATTCTGCTAAAAAACAGATCATTTTAAGCTATAGTTAATTTCTATTAAATAACATTCTATGGCTCACTGCAGAAATAACTACTTGCTGAACTGTAATAAATGAAATCATTTAAAATGACAAATTTTCTGACAGGCAACTGGGAACAAAAATTCTCAAAGGATGCGACATACTACCGGAACTTCCACATCAGCGAGAGGAAGTATGTGAGGGTCCCCATGATGCAGAACCGGGGCAACTACCAGGCAGCTGCTGATCACGAGCTGCAGTGTGATGTCCTGCAGATGCCGTACATTGGCAACATCAGCATGCTGGTAGCTCTACCACGCAAGATCAGTGGCATGCGCAATTTGGAGAAGGAAATCTCGCCATCCGTGATTAAAAGGTGGATGAGCAACATGACCAACCGGTACGTCGTTCTGCAGACCACCTTCTCAATGAAGGTTCACAGTACCACCTAAGATGTATAAACACAGGCAGAGCCTTCCATTTGTTTAAACCCTATTGCACTAGTGTAATGTGTCTTACTTTGGTGATAATTTTTTCTTCTCATCAGAACACGGGAAGTTGTTTTTCCTAAATTTACTCTGGAGCAAAATTATGATCTGATTGAAAATCTCAAAGAGATGGGAGTCAAGGACCTATTTGGAGAGACAGGAGACTTTTCAAAGATGACATCTGAGAAAATTATGATCAACTGGGTAATAACTTTAAAACTTCCCAAGTGTGTTTTGTAAACAGCTCTAGTAATTTACATTTTATGTTTGCTGTATATGAAAACTATTTTTCTTTGAAAGCTGACTTGTTTGCCTAGTTTCGATGTGAAAAGCTTCCAATGCAGCAGCTGATTGAAAAATTCCTTCCATCTCTGCAGTTCAAACACCAGGGAACAATCACCGTGAACGAAGAAGGCACACAGGCAGCATCGGTGACACACGTTGGCTTCATGCCGCTGTCCTCGCAAATCCGCTTTGTGGTGGACCGCCCATTCCTCTTCCTCATCTATGAGCATCGCACCAACTGCCTGCTCTTCATCGGTCGGGTGGTGGACCCCTCCAAGAACTAGCTGCAACCTTCCAACATCACCCTCCAGCCCCTTTACGCTTAACTGGCAACCATCACAGCCTGCTGGCAATCTTGCCTGAGAGTAAGGTGACAAGTTTCTCAATTCTCAAAGCACCTCATGCTAGGAGCTAATAAAAGAGCCACAGTGCAAAACACTCTGGGAGCAGGAGTTCAACAATGACCTAGTCAATGTCATACAATTTTTACCAATGTAGTAAAAAGAAAGTATCGTGCAGGACAAATGTGTTGATTCAGTTACTTTATGTCTAGAAATAACTGCATTTGTTCTGTATGTTGTATAAGCAGATTTAAGGATTTTAATATAAACTGTGTATATAAAATAATAGAATTACAAATCTTTAAACTAAATGTTTTGTGAAATGCATATATATCCCAGCAATAAACAATAGCCATTATAGGAATTCTCTCATTTCTAGCAACATTAACAAGAGCTGCCTGAAAAGTTGACACCAGCATGGCATTATTGACTAAGTCCTATATTGACTGTCCAGAGAGTCCACATATTATGAAGGCTGAGTAAATATTTGTTACGATAGTTAAAAAGTAACCAAAAGCACAAAGTTAACGGATTTTAAAAACTGTATAAAGAGACTGATGTAGGTTTTTTTGGTTATAACACTGGATTTAAATTCATATTTCAATAGTACTTTTCTTAACACTTCTAATATACACTCACCTAAAGGATTATTAGGAACACCATACTAATACAGTGTTTGACCCCCTTTCGCCTTCAGAACTGCCTTAA